CTGCTAGTGAGTGAGCTTGTATGTGTGTCAGTGAGCTTGTCTGTAGGGATTGTGTGTGTGTGTGTGTGTTAGTGAGCTTGTCTGTAAGGAGCATGGGTGTGTCGGAGCCTGTCGGTGGTGAGCATGTGTGTACAGTGAGCTTGTCTGTAGTAAGCATGAGTGTGATCGTGAGCTTGTCTGTAGTGAGCATGTGTATGTCAGTGAGCTTGTCTGTAGTGAATCTGTGTGTTAGTGAGCTCTTCTGTAGGGAGCGTGTGTGTCAATGGGCTTGTCTGTAGGGAGAGTGTGTGCGCATCAGTGAGCTTGTTTGTAGTGAGCGTGTGTGTGACAGTGAGCTTGTCTATAGTAAGCTTGTGTGTGTGTGTATCAGAGTTTGTCTGTACTAAAGTTGTGTGTGTGCCAGTAACCTTGTCTGTGTGTGTCATTGTCTGTCAATGAGCCTATTTGTGTCCATCAGTAAGATTTCCTGTCTGTGTGTGAGTATGCTTTACTGTATAATTTAATTACCCTAAAAGAACTAATATTTTGAATTAGAAGAAGAAATGTATCAATAAAAATAAATAAAAATTTATATATATATATATATATATATATATATATATACTGTTGCATCACCAGGGCTCCAGTATCCAGTATATATATAGGCAATTGAAATAGTTGGCTGCACTCTTGGATTTCCTTAAAATTTTACTTTTATTGAAATATTTAAGAGAAGATCAACGTTTCAGTCCCTCTTGTGGACTTGCATCAGGATCATGACGAAAGTCCACAAGAGGAACTGAAACATTGATCTTCTCTTAAATATTTCAATAAAAGTTACATTTTCAGGAAATCCGAGAGTGCAGCCAACTATTTCAATTGCATATATATATATATATATATATATATATATAACACCCTACATAGCACAATGACTTATGGGGCTGGCATAGATTTTTTTCCAGGGCTGCTTTGTATCCCCAGTCCGGCCCTGCATACACACAAACTAACAAACTCCCTAACAGACACACACACTCCCTAACAGACGCACACTGACATTTTTTTTTTTTAAATTACAATACCTTTGGGAATGCTGGGGTGGATTCTCACTTTCCCTGGGGTCCAGTGGGGCTGCTGGGCAGCCGGCTAGTGACTGCAGTCGGAGAGGGAGCACTAATCCACCTGTTCAGCTCCCTTGTGCGCTGTGTAGTGATGCCGGGGCTGGAATGACGTCATATTCCGGCTCTGGCATTACTGCGGTGAGCGCAAAGGAGCTGAACAGGAGGATTAGTGTTCCCTTGCCGCCCTCCCGGAAAGTGTCGCCGCCAGCCCTGTGGGGCCCTGAAGTGGCCAACTGGCCAGCTCCTGGGTCCCCCAGGACAAGAGGCTAGCAAGGCATTTGACAGGGCGATTGGGGGGGCGGCTTTTTTTGCCACCTCCCAGAAAGTGCCTCCCAAGGCAAATGCCTTGTTTGCCTGAGGGTAAATACACCCCTGCATAATATCCTTCTCTATAACATGTGCCCAAAATTCCATAGCATATTCAAGGTGTGGTCTTACCAGTGATTCATTAAGAGGCAAAATTATGGTCTCATCCTGAGAGTTAATGCCCCTTTTTATAATGACTTTTTATACAAGCAATGGCCTTAACCAGTGCTGAATGACTTTGCACATTGTTGCCTAGTTTGTTGTCTATAACAATTCCCAAATCCTTCTCATGTGCTGTTATGCCTAATTCTCTACTATTTAGGGTGTAAGTTGCTTGTGCATTCTTTACCCTGAAGTGCATAACTTTGCATTTTTCTACATTTAATTTCATCTGCAATTTGAGTGCACAGTCCCCTAAAAAGTAAAATAGAAAAACTGGAAATATTCTTTAAAGCAGCTCTATCAATTCTGAGTATTTCATAAAGATAT